GAGAGCGAGAGAGAGAGAGAGAGAGAGAGAGAGAGAGAGAGAGAGAGAGAGAGAGAGAGAGAGAGTGCGAGGGAGGGGGGAAGGAGAGAGGAGAGTCAGGACACGGAAAGAAAGATAGAAAGAGAGGGGAAGAGGGTGTGCGTATGTATGCGCGCGCGCGCGCCCGCGCGTGTATGTGTGCGCGGGGGGTAGAGAGAGAGAGAGAGAGATGAAGAGAGAGAGGAGAGAGAGGAAGAGAGAGAGGAGAGAGAGGGGAGAGAGAGGGAGAGGGCGAAAACGAGAGAGAGAGAGAGAGCGAGAGAGAGAAAGAGAGAGAGAGAAAGAGAGAGAAAGAGAGAGAGAGAGAGAGAGCGAGAGGGAGCGAGAGAGAGAGAGAGAGAGAGAGAGAGAGAGAGAGAGAGAACTATTCTAATTCTTTGATCGATCCAAACCGCGCGTCCTCATTGCCACTGATAAATGTACATTCACTGAACTCGATGCGTTTCGTATTAGGTATCCATTTGTATGATCTTCTTTTACTCCCAAAACATAGCATACGATCGATTGGTGCCGTTTTCTCGAAGAACAGCGTTCCTTTCGAAATCGATCGTTTCGTGACCGACTGTCAAGCTACGCGTCGTTTCTCTGTTCCTCGCACAATTATCCCCACATTTCATTCTACTTGCCATCTTTCGTCACGAAGGAATGCGTTGATTATCGAGAGGGATATAAATATTGTGCATTTGTTCACTATAATAAAATAAAAAAGTTTAATTTCCAGTTAATATAACCCCACAAACGAATAATCAACTCACCGCGACGATCGAGTCACGACTGAGGGTGCAGCATTTCTTTTGGAGCACCACGCGGCACTTCGGCTATTTTCGACTATCCTCGTTGATTCTCGGAACAGCTTCGGTTCTCGGCCCTTCTTGGTTCTCATCGTCAGTTGTCGTTTCTCCATAACAGAATATGTCCTATCGCCATCCGGATACATGGCATTGAGAAGAATTAATAGTTTCGCTATGAATTTATTATTAATAGATGCTTCTGCTATGAATTCGGTTATTTTGATAATTTGTATAAAAACCTTTCTCTTATTGCAGCTACCGTTATTTCTTTTCTACATTATCTATCGAATAGAGTGAGTTAACGGTATATGGACAAAATTAGGTTTCAATGATATTTCGAATAAGTAACTATACATGTACAATGTTTATACATATACGTATGTTTGTGTATATGTGTTTTTCATTATACATGAATCTCTAATTACAAGTTGCGCACAACAATGTGAAATACAGTTCGATTTTATTTAGTACATATACATATAGGAACTAATCATACATACAGGACTAATTCTTGATATAATTACGAATATAATCGATTCTTATCGATATCTTAAATTTCATATTATCGATGTTAAAGTTATGTACCAATCGTAAAATAATTTCTTATATCAACATTGCTTTCGTTCATCGCTTCCCATATATACGCTAACTTGTCGAGTCTAAATATCGGTCAATTATTATTTCTTAACTATTAACCAATTATATCACGCGTATAATATAAAAGGAAACAAAAATTTTTATTTCAAATAGGATATTTTTAAATGACCATTCTCAATCACATTAATATTTAATTAATACCATTATTCTGATCTCATAATAACAAATAATAATACAATACTTATTAATACTCATTATCGGATCTTCGATATTTCTAGATGTCAATGCTAAAAAGAAAATTATAGTTTGATAGTTTATAAAGGTGCAACATAATGATATTATTTTAAGAATGATCAAGAATCAATGAAAGGAGCAAACGATAATCACAACTACGTAGATAATACCGGAAACACATTGACTGACTGCTCAACACTGCCTCGTTGTTGTTGGTCACCAACAATCTGTGAGGGTCCTCACTCCCCCGCCGTAGTTGATGTCGTCTGGTCACTGGTATATATCCCTTGGTTGGTTGTAGCTAGAAGGGACGTTAGGAAAAGGAAGGGATGCGCGCGTTACGTTCGGGCCTGCTAGCGGATTCCTCAGTAAAAGGCCTGCTTGGCAGACCCTGCCTTAGATAATGTCGATTCTATTCCAAACATGGGAAGTTATATATATATGAACTGGGAGTTTTCCGAGGACTTGCGGGAAAGTCCTCGAAGGCGGAATCCATCTAGTGGCGAGAGCGAGAATGATGGTCGCTACAAATCGATCGTAAATTTCCCTTAGTGAATAACCGGAAATTCGACAAAAGTATATTTATCAGCTATCGCTTTCACTCACAGTTTGTTGAATTTTGCTACAAATGGTGCTATGCAGGTATAAAATCAAATTCACACCGTCAAAGTTAGAAAGATGACAAGGCCAACGAAATTGATAATTCGAGTTGTTATTATTTCCCTATAGCTTATTCCACCATTATCTATTTTCGTTACGAAGATGATATGTCTTTGTAATTCGACGTACATAATGTAACTTTATAGTAGATCGAAGCGAATATATATTTTTTCATATGAAAAAGTGATTTTCTAGGTTATTTCAAAGATTCGATTCGTAAATATTTCTTTGTCTCTCGATAAGAAGTTCGGTATGATTATAATTAGTTAAATTAAAACTCGTATCACGACAACAGAGACAAAACATGTATAATTAAACGATTATTACTTGTATTATGTCGCACATGTTATTCATTACAATCCGAAATTTCATTATTCATTCATTTCGACATTCCTTAATAATTGACAGTGACTTTCGAAACTCGTACCTTGTTTAGTATGCAAGAAATACTCAACAAGTTCTACTAGTATTTGCTGACGTGGTCTATTGAAAAATTCACCTATTGTTTCATCAACATTCACTGAGGATTCTCCATGCAATATGAATCTATGGAAAATAACTTTAAACGATTAATAATCTATCTAATTTTAAAATGCAACATATTTCTGTATTTCGCAGTTCGAACGACGATTTTAGGATTAAGATTGAAGATTAAGATTGAGGATTAGGATTAAGAATTACAAATAAAGCAAAAATTCTTTACCTAAGTAAAATCAAAATCAATCCTTCGATTTCCGGATGTGTTTTTAAGTAAACTTCATTTTTACATCTCTCTATACATTTTCTTAAATTTAAATTGCCTTTTTGATGTTTGTTTAAAGCCCCAATATCGTAATTTAGCGTACCATGTGCCGGATCCTTTGGATGAAAGGCACGACAATTTTCCCATAATCGATCCATACGTGTATACTATTTAGTTTTCCCTACTAAATCTACTGTTGGTAAATAATATTCGCGATATGTTTATCGTACGTTCTACGTTACGAAAGAAATTTAAGAAAAATATCCGCCAAAGGATGCGCGTATTACTGTCGGAATGACAACAGAAATTGGACAGTATGCCTCTTGCGCGTTAAATTAGTCGCTGAGCAACTAAACAAGTGAACTTTTAATACGTATAGGTGCGATTATTTTTTCTCTTTCCACCTGTGACATTGAATGAAAAAAAGATACATCGCCTGAAAGTTATGATTAAAAGTATTCATTTTCTATGATTAGCAAGTATTAACATTTAATCGAGTATAAGTAATAATATTTAACCAAGTAACCGATAAGTTTTACCGAATACAAACGCCCCATCGAAAAAATACTATAGTGTCGATACGATTCGACAAAAACGTTACTATCGAAATGTATATCCCATCTATTAACAGCAGTTGCAATCGAATTTAACCTGATCGTGTGGTATATGCTTGTTCACTTTTTCGTGAATCCTCGTCGATCTTCACGCGATCGAGTCAATCGTTGAAAATTCGTGAACGGTTATGCAGATGGATAAGATTTTAGACTTTATACTTTTAAGTATTCGCAAAGATATTTCTTTTATACAAACGACTCGTATCAGATTTTAACATCGTATAGGCATTGAAAGGGATAATAAACTATCTCGGAATAAAATACGAATCTCGATACCATCGATGCTTATAAATCACTTATTAAGACATCGAACAGCCCATTTGATAGCCTAGTAGATTCGAATAACGCACAGCCATGCTAGGAATAGTAAAAATAAAACGTATAAAGAGACCTCGATTGTCTGGCGAGAGACAAACAACTGTCAAAGAGAGGGAAAGATGAGTAAGCCGGAAGATCGAGGAAAGAGCGGGTGGGGGCCAAAGATTTACAGGGGAAGAGGAAACTCTTCGGGAAGAGGAAAGTTTAGTGTATAAACGAGTGACAAAGAATTAGCATAGCAAAAAGAAAAAAAGAAAAAAGTTCAACGGAAGGATAACAAGAAAGGAGACTTGGACAGTTGTTAGTACGGGTTTACTTGTAGCAACGGGTTACGATGAACAGTAACCAAGATATATTCGACGTTGCGTAAATTTGATACAAAACACTCGTTATCTCCAATATGAGATGAATGATCCAGACAAACAGAGTACCGTACTTACAGCCTAAATTTGAACGAATACGCATGATTGCGAAAAGTATAGTGATAATGTTGCTCTACGTTTCTCGTGCAATGGTACACTGTGCTCACCAATTTAGTAATACAGAGTTGTGCGAAGAGATTATAAACAAGTGTTGCTTCAATAGTGCAACCACCATTAACGATCATCAAGGTCGCTGTAATCTTACAAATTCCAGTCGAACAATGACGACGATTTCACCTGATGCATCCGGCAACATATCCGACGTGTCATGCTGTACGAATTGTGTTGAAAGTGAGTATCACGCAGCAAGCAACATACATATTTCCACTTTTTCTCTTTCTTCTTCCATCTTTCTTCCTTCTTCCTCTTTCTTTCTCATTTTCTTTCTTTCATATCTTATAAACAATCGTATCAGAGTGCTTCTAAAGTGTTAACGAATAAATGAAGCTTTTATTTTTCCCCTGCTCGAAATTTATTTTTATAATCGGCATCTTTAACGTATAAATGTTATTTTTGTAATCACATATTGGAGAATATGTCGAATTAAAAAGGGATTGGAGAAAGGTTGTGGAAATAGAAAAAAATTAAATATTTGATATTTAAAATATTCGATAAACGCATCGCATCGAAAGTTTATCCTATTGCAATTCAAAAATGTGTCGTACACCAAGTTGTAAATGATCTCATCTTTTGCTTCGTCTGTATAGCCTAACGTACTTTTCTTTTCTTTGCAATTTATTTTATTATACGGGAACAGGAAAGAAAGGGAGGAAAAGAGATGAATCAATTTTTGAAAAGAAAAGATGCGTTATGATAGATGCGCTTATGGATCGGAAAGGAAGTAGGATAATTGTCAACTAGGTTATTTCTATACGTATAATTCGAATTTCGTGACATATCGACATATGTAGGAAAGAAACGAAGATAAAATATAAAAGAATAGAAACTGACGGTTTCAACGATACGTTTCAGATACGTTTGAAATAGAAGACGGATCGCAGCGGGAAATTGCGAAGAAGCAAGAACACGTAAACGCCGTGGCAAGAACGGAAATGAGACGCTTTTGTTTGAAAGGTTACATTTCCAACGGCCATATCGTAGGAATTTGGAA